AGCAGGACCCTGCGCGGGGCTGCTCCAGACCCGCCTGCCCCCAGCGAGGTGAAGGGATGGAATTAATTCGCGTTTGGAGATCCTCGTTGGGCGGGGCGGGGAGGGAGAGCCAGGCCGTGCTACCGAAACCCCTCCCGTCGAGGGACAGCCCCCCTCTCTACCCGGCACACCCCTGCCAACGCTAATAAAAGAAGAAATGAGTCAAATCTTCAAATTCCAAACTCCACCAAGCGGAGGAAGATGCACCAGAGACCCCGTGAAATCCACTAGAGACTTTGCTATTGCTACTGATTGTAAGAGGAGGTGCCCGAGACTCCAACGATAGGTGTCAGGATAAAGACAACCAAAGTACTGCAGCCCACGGTGGATTATGCTGTTATGTGCCACAGGCGGAGAATGTGACAGAGCCTTGTGTCAGGTGTAGCTTTCAACCGCTTTTGGAGCGCACAGATCAGCCCTTTGCCCCGTTGTGTAACTGGGCTGGCCTAAACGCAGAAGAATAGACTAGCTTGGCAAAGAGGGAGCAGAGCTGCTGCTGAGGGGCCCTTTCCCATCTCTAATCCTTCTACAGTTCTGTGCTCATACTTCATCCTCTGGCAGTTTATACCATGGTATCACCAGAAGACATGCCTGTCCCAAAGAGGCAACTGTCCAAGACAAAGACGAGACACAGAAGAAAAATGGGGGAGCACTAAAGCTGGCAGGTGAAACTGACCTGTCTAGTTTCCCTGTCCCAAAGTGAGTGCCCTGTCCAGAATTGTCAGACGTTTTGTGGCAAGGGGCTCTTCTCTGAATTAGCACCAACTCCAGTCCCCCTGAAAGGGACTGAGGCCATTCTGGGGCTGAGATGTCACTGAGATGTCCTGACCCTCTGAAATCATTAAAGGTCACCTAGCTACCTCTTGGAAGAGTCAAGATGTTTGTCCTGTGGCTGGGTCTGGTAATTTGAGTGTCTTTGTCTTCTCCTTCCTCGTGTTCGCCCACAGAAGGCAGCTCACTCACGGTGCATAAGGGAAACACACAAGTAGGTGACCTACTCGTCCAGTTTCTCTCTTGTATCCCTACGATTCTCACTGCATTTCAGCTGCCCCCAGGCGTCACCTCTCCCTGGCTTACAGCACTGCACAATCTTGCTGTGAACTGTTAAATAGCTGTATTATCTGGCTGCAGAGCTGTTGCACTGTCAGGGTACATGTTGTGCATCAGCAGGCAGGCATCAAAACACTTGGAAGCCCTTTGGCCTAGTAGAGGTTATTGTTACAATTAAAAAACATACATTAAGATGACAGGTAAGAACTGTAGCTAAGATTTAAAAAAGGCGACAGTTTGAGCATCTTCGTATTGGACCCACCTGATTTTTCACCTGAGAACTCTTCAAAAAAAAAATCAAACCTGTTTGAAGCATCCCAAAATCACCTCTCCTTTTTGCAAATCTTTTCTCTCCAGGAAAGTTCTCACCTTAGAGGGAGACACCTTTGGAGTCTGTTGCCCTTGCACCCTTTCCATACCGGCAGTCCAGCTGTGTCACTTTGTGTCTTTTCAGAACGAGACTGACTCCTCCACAGCCCCGTGCAGGTGTCCGTTTGTGCGCAGAGGAAAATGAATGCGGAAGTGGCTGCAGAGCCTGCCGGAGGAGAGATGGATGCCCTGTGCCCAGGGCTGCTGTTGCCCATCTCGGGAGAGGCAGGAACCGGAGAAAACCCGGGGGCCTCGAGTGCCTGCATGGCTGGGCCAGCCCCGCTGACTGTGGGACAGAGCTTGTTGCTGACGGATGCGTCCATGGCTGGGGATGGAGCTCATGCAGAAGCAGCTGATGTGGAAATATTTGTAGAGGCCGTGTCAGACAACATGTCTCTGAGCAGCACGGGCAACGCCACAGGTATGGCACGCCTTGGGGGTGGAGGGGGCAGCGATCCTCCCAGTGGATCGTCCACTTGCCATGTGTCAGGAAGGCCAAGTCAGGCTCTCCAGTCCCTTCTCTCTGGAAGAGCAGGCAGGGGACTCCAACCAGTCTTGTGGGGCAGGCCAAGCAGTGTGCAGTGGCCAGACAGGCCCTCTGCAGCCCTGCTCAGCCCTCCGATGGCCTGTCCTGAAAGTGCCACCTGTCGGAGGCCCTGGCACATTGTGATCTGAGTCGATGGTGTTTTCTCTCCTGATGTTCATTGTGAATCTAGTGGTGGAGAGAGGTACTGGCCTGCTGCATAGCTCAGGGTGCAGCCTGGGGCGCAAACAATGTGAGCTCCCCCTCCCAGGGTACCCCTGTGGCGGTGAAGGGGGAGTTGAAGCTCCGAAGCCCGTTGAACCTGTAGCTGATGCTTCCAACAAGTGGTCAGCTTGGTACTCATGTGCTCGGGCGCTCTCGCGCGGTGGTGGTGTGCATGCTGTTTCACCAGGACATGGACTGAAAACTCTGTTTTCCACCGTGTGCCTAGAATATTGGGACAAAAATTGCTGCCCTTGGCCTGAGCTGGATTTGAACTGGTGCCCTCTGGGCAAAAAGCACCCGGTCTGGCCTGCAGCTGTTTGACGTGCGCTCTCTCCCCACAGAGGTCTTGGTCAAAGTGGTTGAGCTGTATTTCTGCCAGAGATGCGGCCAGAGCTTCTCCGACCCCAGCCTGCCCTCCCAGCACCGCCCCGGAGCACCTGGAACTGCCAGGTCTGCCCCAGCTTGCAGGGGAGCTGCCAGCCCTGCCCAGCGCGTGCAGAGGGGAAGCCGCTGCCTGCCAGGAGCCAGCACAGAGCTTGCCAGGAGCGAGCCAGCAGAACGGGGACCTCAGCACTGCGGCTGAGCAGCTGCTGTGCCCCATTTGCGGGGGGGAGTTCGTGCTGCCCAGTGAGCTCAAGGAGCATTTTAAGACCCATCGCAGTGCCCAGGGAGCCGTGGCCTGCCCTGAAAAGGGCTGCCACTTCACCTCGGAGGACCGCAAGCAGCTGCGTGGGCACCTGCGGGGCACCCACAAAGTGTCCCCAGTCTCCTGCGCCTACCGCGCCTGCCCGCTCTTGTTCCGGAGCCGCCAGGACATGGAGCTGCATCACAAGAGCCACTTCCCCTTCCACTGTGGCCACTGCGACTTTTTCAGCTCCAGCGCCAAGCTCTTCAGGCAGCACACCCAGAGCCATGTGCCGGGGGGTGGAGAGCCCCCCACGGACACGGGGCTCGTGGAGGCCACCTGCAAGTGCGACTTCACTGCTGTGGGTGGGCAGGGCCCCAGCAAAGCC